CATTTTAAGCCAATCTTCTCAAACTGAGGAAGATTAGAAACTGAATTTTAAAATTCCAGTTTAAAGTTAATCTTGACTGGGCATGGTGACTTACCTCTGTAATCCCAGCACTTTGGGAGGCCAAGACGGGAGGATTGTTTGAGCCCAAGAGTTCGAGACCAGTCTAGGAAACACAGCAAGATCTCATCTTCAAAAAAAAAAAAATCCTGACACAGGGATGAACACCTGCAGTGCAGTGCAGTGTAGTAGCAGGCTGAGGGGGAAAGATTGCCTGAGCCCAGGAGGTCGAGGCTGCGGTGCGCTGTGATCGTGCCCCTGCACTCCATTCTGGGATAGAGTGAGATCCCAACTCAAAATAAATAGTTAAATTAATCTTATTCTAAGTTTTAACTCATTGAACTTACCAAACAGGAGTATTTTCCCCAAGAATGTACAATGTTGTGTCAGATAAAGTTAAAACTGAAAGAATGAATTTAAGCCATTCAAATAAGAATCGGTGAAAACACTGCTTATTTATTAAAATAAAAGGTAAAAAGCAATAGATACATGAATGTTTAACATGAGACTTCAACAGAACCCTGCATCTCACATCACAGGACATAAGATTATTCTTTTTTCCTGTTGATGGTAGTGTTTGAGCAGAAAGAATCTATTTTATCAATTACCTAGGATCAAGGGGCTATACTATCTACTCTAAAAAATAATAATCTGTGAGACCGTTATATATGGCTAATCAACTCTCCCCAGAGATGAATAGTTCCTTGAATATTAAGAGCAATCTTTTCAAATATATACTTGGGCATAAAAATTATACCTATATATAAATATAAACATACAGAATTTACAAAAATATTTCAAAGGGTAGACATTTTACAAGCTAATGTAATTTTAGTTTCATTTTGAGAGTGTTTGCTGTGTTTAATATTTCTATTTTATTCACATCAAAGTAGCCCTTTAAGGCAGTAGAGAATCAACACTTAACCCAGGGTTCTGGGTAACCACACTGAATATGGCTTTCTTTGAGGATGTATTTTTATAATAAAAATCTATATAAATTGTGCATTCTGCTCATTGATATAGCTATGTTGTTTTAGAAAATAAAAAATAGTATTTTTAAAATTTCAGGTAAGCTATTAAGCAGTCCCCTCATTTTTAAAAATAAAATAAACACTCTAAGAAGATGCTTTATAGTAGCCCTGAATATTTTCACAACACTTTTGTCATTTCTAATGTTCCCAAGGGTAAGCAAACCACTATGATTGTATGAAACTAGCCAATAACACTGGTTTTCTTTCTCTTAGCAGAGGGAATCTAGCAGGAGCTCATCAAGTGAGGTAAAAGATTTTGATGTTAATTCAGTGTTTCAATTAGTTAGAAAACATTTATGATAACTTGTGCTGTGATGATTGCATATCTTACAAGTTCTCATTGCACCAACCACAGCGTATATGGTACTTTCTAATTTTAGTATGTAATTCTCAGCCCTCCCTCAAAAGGAAAGCAACTATTTTTCAGAGACAAATTTACAGAATTATTTCTGGGCAAGCAATCCTACATGGCAATATGTTGTGCCCCACATTTTTTTCCTAATTATTTTGTTTTCATAAATTTTGGTAGAACTCAATCTTATCATTAAAAATTCAATCTTCTAAGTAACTAAAATGAACATTGTACATCCCAAGTAGAAATAAACCAACTCTAAGTTAATAGGACACTGGAACCCTCTAACTACTGTTCAACTTTTGGCATTTGTTAATCTGGAGAAAAAAAGATAGCAGAAGCAGGTGATGGGGTCTTTGACTTTGAGAGAAGACTTTCATTTAAGTTACCAAAATAAAACCCAGTGAATTAAGTAGGGTTTCTGGTTACTTGATAAAACTGATTTCTTCACATTCACCTCCATTACTCAGAGTAATGTCCTGGTGAAAGCAACAAGAAGAGGAAAAGCAATGTGAATATGATGTATGCTTCAGTTATCCAGGAATTTATGGTTAAAATCAGTCTACCATAGTTACGTAGTACTGGTATCTGGTTGATTAGTATTCTTATCTTAAATGTAAATTAATTGCATAAAATTAAAACTGTGCATGTTTTAATTTTTTTAAAGGAAGCTGCTCCCAGTAGCCCTGAGGTAAGATATATTTGCTAAATTTAAAATACATTAACATTGTCTAGGGTAAGTAGAAATTTACTTAAACAACTTTCAGATATATATCTCAGCAGAAGCACATTCCCAAGGAAGACATGCTCTACCAAAACAGTCTGGAAAAATTTCACAGATATACCAATAAATTAGTGAGCGTGTTGTATTAATGAATGATTTCTCCTTTTCAATATCGGATAGACTTAAATCTACAATAAGTAGTGTAATGGATTCCAGTTGTTTGCTCATGTCTTTTTAAAAATAAATCTAACCTTCATGGCCTTACAACCCTGAATGCACCCAATCTAATCTAAAAATAAAAAACTAACAATTTTCATTGCAGTTATTTAATTCATGCTTTCTTTTGAATATTTATATTTTATAATCCCCTTTTGAATATTAATAGTATAGTATTAAGTGACGGTCTATGGATTTGGTTAGACTGAGTTTGACTTGAAGCTCTGTCTTCTGTCAACATGTGATGTCAAGCAGTTCACTTAACTGCTATACATCTATAATCCAAATTCTAAATTGACAATAATAATAAATATTAAATGGCATGAAACAATTAATACTAACCATGGCATAGAGTAAATGCTCAATAAATATTGGCTAATATTAGAAATATCGTTTTTTTGTCCCAGTCCATCTTATAATCTGATTTAATTTGGCCTAAGTTAAATCTTCACAATCAGAAAGTAAAAACCATTTCTAATTTTCTTAGTAATCCTAATACACTATAAGTAAAATTGCTTGATGCTAACTTATATCAGACTGCATTATAATTTAAGTTAAAGTAAGTTTAAGAAATAGTTTTCTAGTGTTTTTTTTAAAAAAGGAATAATTGAACAGGTCAAATTATTTGAAGTAGAAATAGTACTAAGGACGAATTAATAGTTCCTCTTTCTCTACACTGGGAAAGGGCATTGTGAGGTTCTTGTTTCACTGTCTGAAAATGATGGATTTGGACTGAATAACAGCCCAGCAATTAAGATGATGTTTCCTCTTAAATAGGACCAACTTCAAAGACTGAACAAATACAACCAATTTCAGCAGGTAATATTTTATTTATTATAATACAAAATCATATTCCAATGTAGTATTACAATAAATTACATTTTAAATTGAGTCCACTTCAAAATGTTTTTCTTTTTCTTAAGTAGTTATTTATTTTAGCCTTGACCAATAATAATTGATCAATTATTTATTTATATGATTGCCTGTGCATTTTACTGGAAAAGTGTATTCTTTTATTTATACCTAGACTAAAGTTGTATATCTTATCCTTAATTACTAAGCAGGGATAAATTTATTTTGACTACATTCTACCTCAGATTATTTTATATCTTCCATGATGATACATTATATTCAATAATTTGTCATTTATTTATTTAGGAAGAGTCTCACGCTGTCATCCAGGCTGGAGGGGGCTTACTCACAACCACCACAGCCTCAACCTGCAAGGCTCAGGTGATCCTTCAGCCTCAGCCTTCCAAGTAACTGGAACCACAGGCACTCAGCTAATTTTTTTGATTTATTGTAATGACGAGGTCTCGCTAAGTTGCCCAGGTTGGCCTCAAACCCCTGGACCCAGGCAATCCTCTCACCCCTGCCTCCCGAAGTGCTGGTGTTACAGGCACAAGCCACTGCACCCAGCATTTATCATGCATTTATTTTCCAAAATTCAACCTTAGTTGAGGATTGAATAAATGTGCTTATTTGTGAATATAAATATGTCAAATAAATTTTCCATTTACAAAAATAGTATAGACTCTAGCAAAGGAATCAGAAATGCTAAATGTTAGATTTGCTTTTGTCTAAACTCATACAATCCACTTATCACAAATTTTGATTACTTTGAGTACCATAAAAGTCTTTCACTTGGGAAGACAATACAAATCTTCTTTCAGCTACTGTCCTAAGTGTGGCTTAATTAGGACTTTGAGAAAATGCCTTGTCTTAATTTAGCAAAATTACATTTTTAACATTTTTTTCTCTTATCAATGTAGAAAAAGGAAAGCCCACAATGAATTTAACTGGGACCTCAGTTGTTACTCCTGTTTTGGTTTTCAGGTTGCTTGCATTTGAGTGAATATCCAAATAGACTTAAATACATCACCACTTCTTTAGAATTCATCATTACTGATCTAAAAAATTACCTAAAGAGTATATTTTATCTCCCCATATATGATGTGGTTAATCTATAACCCTTCCAACTGTTAGAGTCACACAATCTTGCTCATACTTTTCACAATATTTCATACTTGTGTCTCTGGTACTTAGCAGAGTCCCTGAATGAATGAAGGTACCTAGTAAATGTTTGTTATTCCTAAGTACATAAAATCAAAATATTAAAACAAAATATTTTCTCCTCTTTAGCAAGCTGCCCAGGCCCAGGTAATTTATTAAACATAAAATATTTTAATACTTCCTTTGTGTGCTATGTTTGTATACTGTATGCTCTTTTTTAACAGACATATATTCTGAGAGAGTGTTCTAGAACCCATATCTGGTAATGTTACATTTAAAATTTACAAAAGCTAATATTTAAATAATTAATAAATAGTCATGAACAGAAAATAGATAGTCCTAGAGAATTGGTAAGTTATTACTTTCCCTCACAGTATGAACCTTACAAGTTATTTATTTTTTCAAACTATAGTGAGGTTAGCTTTTACCTGAATATTTTTTCTAAAGTTAGAAAATTTTTTAAAAGTTTTGATACTTTTTGGCAATCCTGACATAGAATACCATTTATTCTAAATTTCATGGATGATGATATACTCTTGGTGCAATATAAGATCAATGTGTTGTACCAGAAGATGTCTTGGTGATTTAAAATATATTTCCTTTTTAACAGGAGCAAATTCGCAGAATTAATGAAAACAACCGCATCCAACTGGTAATATTTTGCTTGCTATGTTAAAAAATAATAATACATTGTTATGTTTACATATATTTGCTTTTAAATAGGCTCCCACTCTTAAAAAGATGTTATTTTCTTCTCAGGCAGTTATTTCTAAAATTAATTAATCTGAGAGATGAAGATGACATGTCACTAGTCTTTGGAATGGGAGCTGTTTCATTCTATATCAGACCTTTTATTATTCTATAGTACTATGTAGTAAAAACAATGTGGGCATCACATTTATAATCACAAGCACTTTAATGTATTAATATCCATGGTTAAAATAATTTCTTTTTAAACGTATCTTCTTAATTTTATATCCTCATGCTCATAGTTTGATTCTAAAATTCAATTTATATTTAAGAATCTCGAATTCAGTTATAATTATGCTCTCTTAAGCAAGGCATATTGGAGATTTATTAGTTGACTCATATTTCTTTTGATGAACCCATCTGGAGCTACTGGGTGTCTCTGTCAAAATACTTTCTGAGCTTTGGTTTTCTCATCTATGGTGAGTTTATGGGCAATAAATAGCAGATACTGATTCTTCCCCTGGTCTGTATACCATTGATTCCACATGGTTTCATTTTTAATAAAGCATCTGGCTTCATTTTTAGGGCAATAATCAGTTTCTATGAAATATCTAGTTTCACAAAAACTCTGCTTTCTGTGAACAGACAGGCCAATTTCATACCAGCCATGAAGCCCTCTAACCACTATTGACCATTTAGTGAATCTTATCAAGATTGTTGAGGATCCTCCATATGTTTTAGAAGATAAATTATCTCTAGGTAATCAAACACAATTGGCAAAATTAATGTCAGTTCCCAAATATCTAACATGAAAAGTACTTCAGTGAGGTTGTTTCTTCTGTCTTTGAGTTTTACTCAGTCATAAAGGTAATTTTAATTCTCTTTTTCTTGCTCCAGGGAAAGTTTCTAAGCACAATGGATCAGGTAAATTAGCTTTTATATGCACGTGTGTGTTTGTGTGTGTGTGTGTGTTTTGATACTGCCCTTAATAGTATCTATGAACAGTCACTGTTGTTGTTTTTGAGAAACTTTACTAGCTGCATTTTAACTAGTGGTATGCTGGTATTTCTTAGCTGTTGATGACCAATGTTGGACACCCCAGTGCTAGTTCTAAGATTGGTGTAGAAGATCAGATGCAGTTTACCAAAGCAAAATGAAAGAATAATTCTACGGAATTCCTGAGTGATGATAGCTTTAGAGCAACTTTTAAGTCATAAAAAATCCAACTTTGTCCAAATTTGACCTTTTATTATTCTATAGTACTCTGTAGTAAAAACAATTTGGGTTTTAAATCTCAGATCTGACACTCTCTAATCATTTAACCCTGAACACATTGTATAATCTCTTTGACCTTTGATTTCTCATTTGTAGAAAAATTAGTGCACATCTATCAATTACTTCCCTTCCCCAAATTCCTATATTCTTATTTTTACAGTGCTTTTTGGTGTCTTTAATTTTAAACTTAGTAACTGTGTGTTCAATTCATTGGCTCTGGGCCATTAGTGACTCACTTATATATGACATGCTAATTACAAAAAATAAAGCATGTAAAGAAAGCCGTGGAGTATTCTCTTTATGAATGTGATTAGAGAAAAAACTTTTTTGAGATTAAAAACATGTAGGTTGTTAATCAATTTTATGATAATATTTCCTCATTATGCATCCAATTTTATCCTCAATTTCTTCTGAAATTATTTAATCAATTTCATTGACTTAAGTAAAAACAAAATAAGGCAGGTATTCACTTTATATGAACTCTAAAGAGTGCACTGTTCCCAACTTTCCATATAATACTTTTTTTAAAAATGAGTTTTGAGTAGCAGTAATTAGGTTTATAATGGTGTTCAATTGGATGTAAGTCACAAAGTTAGTGTTTTAGTCAGTATTGTGCTGCTGTAACATAATATCACAGGTTGGGTAGTTATAATGAACAGAATCGTATTTGGCTAATGGTTTTGGAGACTGGAAGTCCAAGATCAAGGAGCCAGTATCTGACAAGGGCCTTTTAGCTGTGTCATCCTATGGTGGAAGGGCAGAAGGGCAAAGGAGCACATGGAAGAGACAGCACGAAAGGGTCAAACACTTTTATGACAAACCCACTCTTGCAACAACAAACCCACTCCCATGATAACAGCATTAATCAATTTGTGAGAGCAGATACTTCATGACCTAATTACCTCTTAGATTCCCCATCTTTCAACACTGTTGCATTGCGGATCAAGTTACCCACATATGATCTTTGGGGAACACAATCAAATCATAGCAGCTCATTTGTTCATTTGTTTTTTCTTTCTCTCACTCTTTAGGAACAGGCCCAATTATATCTTGAGGTAAGTTGACTGTATTATATTTATTTTTTTAAAAATATAAATGCTGTAATAAGGAAAGGGAAAATTCCAGTTATTGTATTTGTTTTAATCTTTACATAGTCAAGTGTCCAGAGCAAAATTTGAAATTCTTGCATTTTGCCGCCCTAATTCTAGCAAAGAACACAAATCTTCCACCTAAATGGATAGAGAATTATGTACAAGAAACAATTAACTGAAATGTCATGCTAGATCATCAGAGGCAGCTATTTCAACATTTCAGAAAGAAAAATAATTTTTGTACTTCAAAACCTTAATGTTTGGAAAGAGCATTGTGCTAGGAATTGGAGAAATATTTTCCTTCTATTCGTGGCATTTCTGAGCTGACCCTAAGTGCAAGGTCCTTCCTTTGATCTCAGTGTCTTTAAGGAAATTTAGATATAAATGGCAAAAATGCTCGTGAACTTATAAACTAAGTAATAATGAAATACATGTCACTACTTTCTTCTGGGATCTGGTCATTGAACCTGGGTGAGTAATGCAGGTTCTTGGAGCTCAATATTGATTAATGACCTTAAAAATGGAATCTATTCATTGCTGCTCAAGTACCTTAAAAGAACTCCTTCTGAAAGTTTCTTTACCAGAATTCACCACAGAAAAGAGTTTGATTCTCTTTTCCTTCAAAGAGTAACTGTCTTGTTATGACACTAATAGGCATCTCAGAAATGAATGAAATATTCTGATTTTTCAGAGATTCAAAATAGCACATACTCATACACTTTGTTTTTTCCTCTAGTTTTTCAAACAACTCTACCAGTTTTATGCCTATCCCTATGCTGATTGGTACAATCTCCCACAAAGCATTCAGGATGTTACTTTCTCACCATTCTACCCCTTCTCCAATTTCGCTGCCTCTGAGAACAATGAAAAAGCTTTCAGTATTCCACAGTGGTGGTAAGTTTATTTAAATTATTTAATATTGATCTTCTACTAAAGGAAATAATATAGCTTAGAGAGCATACCAAAAGAACAGATTTAGAATAAGCATGGCAAATCAGTGCCTACTGTATAGTACAACAATTTTCAGCAATAAAAAATTGGTAATACTTTCCAGCAGCTGTGGTGAATATTAATTCATTTCTCAGTAACATAAAAGCAGTGTTATCTATTCTATAAGTAAAATTCATCCTAACAAGGGTAGGGAAGAAAATTCTCTCTCCAATTTAAAAATATAAACACTTCTGACCATTCACCATTATACATTTTTAATTAATCTTTAAATGTTTTCCTTTTGGATGTACCTATAATAAATATTAAAATGTTGAATAGAGAATACAATACATGTTTTGACATTTATTAGTCTTAAATTCAAATCCTGACCTTTTTTCTTATTTGAAATAATATAACAATCCTTATTTCTTATAACATTGAAGGTGATCGTATGTAGTAATCTTTAAGTATAGTGTTGAAAACATAGACACTGAATAAGTAACAGTCATTTTTTTCTTTGACTTAGAAAAATTTTATTGCAGACTGCCTAATAATATGATTTTAACAACTTTTGTTTTTTCAAAGGTATTAAGTCAATTCTCAGAAACTCCACAATTATGGCTCTTGGTAAGTTTGAAAATCGCATGTCTAAGAGGTGATCCTACTTCTATTAGCATTTTTTTCATAATCATAATGTATTTAAACAGCAATTTAAAAAGTCACATAATTTTAACTAATATAATTTATAATTTTGGAGTCTCTTGTGAAAGTATAGTGTGAATGTTGCTAATTTTTCATGAAGATGTGACTTTGATACTCTGGTGAACCCAGTGGTGGGATTCTGTTCTTTATCATCAAACAGAACTCCTTAGCAAGTCATATAGTGAAATCAAGTGTTTGTCTGTCAACACTAGTTGAAGAGGTCTACACATTTGTTTTAATTACCTTCATCCACTATATTAGAGCTTCTAATTATGTGGTGTATGGTGTGTGTTTTCTCTTTTCAATCCTGGAAACTTCTTTTCCAGTAGATCCATCTAAGGAAAATGATAGAACTCTGACCTCTGGGGGAGACTTTTCTTCTAATTGCCTTGCCATATTTTCATTAATACCACAAAATAGTATACTATTTAGTAATAAAATCGTGTTTACATCTCAGAAATCAGGAAAAATAAATATGTAAGTCAGTAACAGGGCAGCACAAATAACATTATAAGTTGGTATAATTTGAAGAGAAATTGGTAAAATGTATTATTATGTAGTGAGTGTCTCTTTTTCTCAGAAATGTTTAATATAACTAACCACATACTTCTATTTCTATTTACAGATGTGACTGAAATTTTCCTTTGCTGAATTTCTCCTCTGTGGCTGTTTATCATGTAAAATCATCCTATCCAAAGGCTTTGACTGTTATTTTAGAATAAGAAAAGCCTGTACTGAGGGCAGTCTTCTTGAGTTATCTACAATATATTATATAGCATATTGTCCTTTTTCTTAAACTAAATTTCCCTTGAGAATTTATTGTCTAAATTCCAATTGTACCATGCCAGTATGGAGGATACCTAATCAGAGTGTTTTAAAGTCATTACTATGTTTTTATAATGGGAATTTAGTCTTAAAAAGTCTTTGAATTGTGTCTTCTGTAAGTGACATCATTTCAAATAATTGTGTGCAGTGACTGAGATTGTTTTTCTGTCTTCTTTTCAATAAATTACATTTTAAGGCACAATCCATATCTTCTGTCATGATTTCATTCAGCAGTATTTTCATATTCCTGTTGAGTCTTCACGTAACATTTTGTTTTCACTACTTTTTAATGACACTTTCAATCACATTTTAATGAAGATTTTTTAAAGCGTTCACTTCTAACCCATGCTGGCAGATCATACAAGACATTTGTAAACTGGGTCCAAGATGGTTAAAGTCAGTTGTTTATAAAATATTTCCCATGAGCACATAGCCATACCTGCAGAGAGAAATGGCAATGTGGCAGTTGCGGGCAAATTGGAAATTTGAAAAACATAGTTATGCAATTTACTTTTGCCTTCTGGTCCTGTTTGAGTCCAATTCATTTAATTATTCCTGAGCTTATAGCTAGAGAGGTTGGATAACAATCATTAAAAGGATAGCTCAAGACATACAATAACTTGGAATCACTGTTAGCTGTTCAGTGTGCTCCATTCCCCAAGTAGGAGCGATTTCTCAAGATAACAAGAGTTGCTTGTTATGATATTTATTTTCAAAGTCCCAGATTTACCTTTCAGGGTTTATCCAAGATCCTCACACAAAGTGACCTGTCATGTCATGGCCCTTTAATGAACCATTGAATCTACCAGAATCTACCAGTAACAAAGCTACTATACTGTATGTATACATATATATATTCCAAACATACATTTTTTTTGCCTTAAAAATAAATTAAGTTAGTATTGAATCCCCTGCCTTTTCTTAGTGTTAGGAAGTACAAAGGGAAACGACTTGTTTTTCAATCTAGAGAAAGTTTGTCAACATACTGAGTTTGGACCTGCAAGAAATTAATGAAGAAGGCAGGCCCTTGTGTATTCATAAAAGCTTCCATCACCTTGTCACTTCCCAAGACATCTAGGGCATTTAATATGTCTTGCTCCGTGACTCCTATAAAAATAAATTAGGCAATTTAATGCATGCATGATGAACTATAAGATCACGCTTCCTGCAAATTATGTTGTAATGCAATGCTGTCTTTAAAACTTTATAGCATAGAAGCTTCTATTTTGTAAGATGGAAAACTATTTCTGGTACTATTTTTTTCTTTGGATTTTAAATCAGAATGGAGAATAATACATTTACAAGATGACTGTCTGTAAAACAATTACTAAGAATTTCCCTGGTACCCCACTTAAAATACAACCTGCAATGAGTATTACAAACTAATTAAATTTGCAATAATTCACTGTCATTCTCGAAGAAACAGTTGCAAAGACCAAATGAGGAAATAGAGTAACATACTATGACTCATCACCCTTGCATCTTTCGGTTTTTAGCATTCATTGTAATTTCCCCAGAGAGACAGTACTTCTTTTAATTTACTATTCTATTAGAGAAGGAAATGTGATGGGATCTCCTGTTATAATAATGCGATAATTATTTTTAGCCAGTCATCTTTTACCTCCTTGCTGCATACATCAGGGAGGCAACAAGAGGATTGGATCAGTTTCTAAGTATATTTATTTAAAATACACACTCTAAACTGGGAACTTACCATGAACAGTTTAAACTCTTTTTTTTTTTTTGAGTTGGAGTCTCACTCTGTCGCCCACACTGGAGTGCAGTGGCCGCTCCCGACCACCGCAGCCTCAACCTGCCGGGCTCCGGCAATCCTCCCGCCTCAGCCTTCCAAGTAGCTGGAACTACAGGCGTGCACTACCACGCCCAGCTAATTTTTTTGATTTATTGTAGAGATGAGGTCTCGCCAAGTTGCCCAGGAGAGTCTCGAACCTGCGGTCTCAGGCAATCCACTCACCTCAGCCTCCCAAAGGCGCAGGATTACAGGTTGAGCCACCGAGCCCTGCTCAGTTTAAACTCTTACTGGGCTTACAAGGAGCCAAACTCTGGTTGCAACACCATCTATTACTTGATTCAAAGAAATACTATCATGAACACCAGGTCATCGGGACATTTTCAATTCCAAGGAATTAATGGTACGATAGAACAAGTAGCCAAAATTCTCTTTGTTTAGGTAAACGCCCCAAAAATATATAGGCTAAAGGCAAGGACCAGAGTTAGAAATAAGATGCTACAGTAGGATCTTTCCTATAGAACTTTGATCTTCATTTCGTTCAAGGGATATCCATAAATTGATTCTTATTTAGAAATTGGGAGCTAGGAGGATCATCACTTTCTCTAATGGTAACTTGAGCCAGAATTCTGTTCACTAGTCATTGTATTTTTATATTTCTATGTCAAAAATCACCTAGGTGTTGATGCCAATAAATTTTTCCGGAGATATGATAATTAGCCTTAAACAAAGATCACTTCTGGTCTGATTATATTTTATGCAATAATTATCACAGTCTCTAAAAACTTAGGCATCACTCTGGCTTAGGAGTTTACCTGTTATCATCTTGGTTTGATGACTCTAGGCTCCCTCCACCAATTTCAATTTCTGTGTGTTTCTCACTAGAGTTCAGTCGGCTACATTTGGGCGGAAAAGACTCTGAAAAGACTATTCATAAAGAATAGGGTAGCCGGGCTCGGTGGCTCAGCCTGTAATCCCGCACCTTTGGGAGGCTGAGGTGGGTGGATTGCCTGAGCCCGCGGGTTCGAGACCCACCTGGGCAACTTGGCGAGATCTCATCTGTACAATAAATAAATAAATAAAAAGGCTGAGGCGGAAGGATTGCCGGAGCCCAGCAGGTCGAGGCTGCAGTGGCCAGGAGTGGCCTCTGCACTCCAGTCTGGGCGACTGTGTGAGACTCCAACTCAAAAAAAAGAATAAGGTAAAGGATAGTTATCCATGCTTTGTAGACATGGAGAGGTGATGGTTCATTAGAACTAAATGCACCTACGTATGGGTGTTTCTGAATATTTTGTTTTTATTATGGCTAAAACTCTCTTGTAGAACCTCATTTCACAAATGAGTGAAAAAAAAGTTATGGGAAATTATGGTGTAGATTGTGAACTGAAGAATGCATGTCTTTCCCCTTTTGATGTTCCTTTAAATCTACTGTTTCTATTCAGGAATGCATAACTCAAGTATGACCAGATATTGGGGCTTATAGGAGAAACTAGATATGTAGATTGATGTATAAAATCCCAATTTCCAAATGTTGCCCAATTTTCTAAATGCAAAATGTGCTGCCTTCTTTTTCTTAAAGAATTGAAGTTCATTGGTCAGATTCATCCCTTAAGGCACTATTCATATAAATTAAGGGAAACATTTTTTAGATTTTGTTTGTTTCCTCCTATTTCTAGTCCACACTGAGGCTGAATCCTGGCTATAATGAAGCAACAACAACGAATGAGAAATTAAGTTAACCATCAGCTAATATTAGCTAAGATGAACAAAGGAATCATGATTTCATTATGAAAAATAGGCATAGTGGAAAGAATTTCTGAAGCATTTTGGAGTTAGGGAGTCTCTAAATTCTTCCATATATTTTAATATATCAAATTAAATAATTGATATTCTACATTTTTAATTTTCATAAGCCTTACCAGATTTGTAAACTTAAGTGTCATTTTAATTGCTCTTTATTGAATTTTTGTGTCCCTTCCCCAATTTCAAAAGTTGAAGCTCTAATCTCCAATGTGATGGTGTTTGGATGTAGGGGCTTTGGGAGCTAATTAGGTTATGAAGGTGGAGCCCTCCTGAGGGAAATTTGTGCCTTTATAAGAAGAGACACTATAGAGGTAATCTCTTTCTCCTCCGTGTAAAAATACAGCAAACAGGTTACAGTCTACAAACCAAAAAGAGGACCCTTGCCAGATACTGAAACTCTCAATGCTTTGATCTTGGACTTTACAGCCTCAAACTCCGAGAGTAAAATTTCTGTTGCTTAAACCACCCAATTTATGGCATTTTACTATGGCCATCCAAACTGACTAAAATATTATTGTATAGTTCAAAAACTCAATCTCAAATTTTT